CGTATCTTGAGATTAGATTTCCAGAATTCTTGAACGCAGAACGCAGAATGGCGAGTGTTTCTCTCATGTGTAGTAGAACCAACCGTTCCCCATTCAACATAACATAGCAAATGTAACACATTTTTACTGGCTTCTTAAGTTCTAATGAAAACGGAATTTTCAAGTAATGCTTTTGTAGGGATTTTGTTTGTCTCACAGGTTGGAGGATTTCTTCATGAACTGACATCAATTAGAGAACTATTGAAAACCAGCCAGGGAGTACTGGACAACCAAATGTTTCGTCAGCCTAGTTTAGGACTCTTCAGTGGTACGCACCCACCTTCAGGGTTCGAAGCAAACACCTTCTGGTAACAAGGTGAGCCAGATCGTAGGCCATTAAGTCACTAGGACCAGATCCAACAGCCAATGAATTCTAACTTCTGCCAGTTCATGACATAGAGCGATGATTTCGCAAAGTCTTCTTTTATGAGTTACTGCCTCATATTCAACCTGCTGTGTACCCTACTGGTTACCGCCTTCCCGGACGAAATAGCTATCCAGTACTCCAGGGTTTTCCAATGGTTCTCTAACTGATGTCAGCTCATGGTGAAATCCTCCATCTGAAAACGGAATTTTTGTAATATATTTCCTTTATAAAACTGTTGATGCACACTTTGCAAATTAATTTTGAACAACTACGCATCTCAGTCAATCAGTAGTATATAGTTTTATACAGGAATATTCGGTTTCTCCGCAACCAGAACATATCGATCTCATGTTATGTGATCTCAGTCATTTTGATTTCAAAAATAAACTCTGATGAAATAATCATCACGAACTGGGTGAATCACCAGTCAATCAATCTGTGAATTTGCCGAGTGACATCAGTCAGATAAATATAAAAATAGCCTGAAGATTTTTCGTTCTAGTTTAGGATTCTTCAATGGTGAGTATATGAGGGGAGGAATCCAGGAAAAATTCAGATTTAGAGGATAACACCTCAACACTATGCATTCCAAATTCAGTCAATTCCTGATATAAATAAGTGTATATCACCAGTCTCTTTGTCTTCTCAGCCAGTTTGGTCAGTCTTATCGGTCACATCTTCCCTCTGTAACTTAAGGAAATTCATGTCGTGAATAGTCACTCATCTGTTTGTTAATCCCTTTATTTTATTCCTCTGTGAGCTGGAGCTGTAAAGTTTCAGTAGCAGTCTTGTTATTACCCCTTGACAGAGGGAGATTGTCTGACTCATTTCCTACCTCCCAGTTGATGGAAAGAAGACGGTTTCAAGGCATTTCGAGTCAACAGAGTGTACATCTGCATCCTAGATGACATTGTACTGCCACAGGAGTCTTGTGTTTGCTAGAGGAACAATCATTTTGTCACTTGTGTGAGATCTGATCGAGAGATAGGGATTCAGGCTTGCGTTTCGAAGTTTCAATAATGATGTTTTTGTCTTTACAGGGTAGGGATTCCGGATCCTCGTCGTCGAGGCATTCAGACATACCACTGGTAAGATGAGACTTAAGTCTTCGTCGGTTAGGAGGTGAACCCGAACCACGTGTGATGAGCATGGTTTAAATTCTGCTAATCAACTGATGCTCAAGTAATACTTAGTTATAGAAATGAATTATTCTAGTGATACGAATTATTATTATTGTTCCCTTGGGTTCCTGGTGGAACACAGGGCTTCAACTGGACGTCTCCACTTGCCACTTCTGTCTTCTTGTGTACTTTTCACCTGCATCCATGTGAGTACACACTGTTTCAACTCCTATTCACACGGTCTCCTCCATGTCACACTTACACCGACGTCCCACTCGCCTCTTCCCTCCGGGTTCCTCTCGAGTGATGGCCTGACGCGCGATGTCACCCAGCGGCCTCCTCAGTGAGTGTCCAATCCACCTGCACTTTCTCCTACATATTTGTTGAGCAATTGGTTCTTGCTTTGTTTGTTCCCATAGTTCCTCGTTGGTGATTATTTCCGGCCCAGTCATCTGATCTTCAGTATAGAGCCAGCAAAGACAGTTGTTGATAAAGGTCTGCAACAGGCTGCTGCAAATATTCTTTGTGACCAGCCAAGTTTCTGATCAGTATAGAAAAACTGAATTGGCGTTTGTGTTGGAAATCCAAATTTTGTTGTTGATGCTGAGTGACGAGGTTTTCCGTTTGGTTTCAGGTTAATGAATGTGTTTCTCACCTTCCCGATTCTTGATTTGACATCCTCGTCCGTTCCTCCTGTAGTTGAGACAATGCTCTCTAGATAAGTGAATGAAGTAACCTCTTTCAAATCCCTCCCGTTGATGATGATTGGCGCTTGATTTTGCTGCTGCTGTTGTAGTTAGTGGTGGTTGGTTATTTTCATAACCTCCGTCTTGTCTATGTTCACTTGGAGTCCTGTCTTCATTGTCTGTTTCTTCGACCAGTTTGTCAGTTTTCGCATGTAAGTCTTCGATTTTGTGACAGTGACATCAAACATAAATCATCCACGCGCGAAATCCAGGTCTTCTAGGTCGGTCTTCACGTCGGTCCAGGATATCCCTGTCTGCCCGTTTCCCACTCACTGTCTGACGCATAGTCCAGTCCACCACAATTAGGAATATCATTGGAGATAATGAGCAACCTTGTCTGACTCCTGTCTTTACTCCAAACGCCTCGCTGAGTTTTCCGTTGTGGATCACTTGACATGTGCCGTTGTCGTACAGCTGTTGAATAAGGTTGATGAATATCTGGGCTACGCCGTAGTACACGAGTAGTCTCCAAATTACTTCGCGGTCAACGCTGTCAAAGGCTTTCTCGAAGTCTATAAAGTTGAGGTAGAGGTTTGATTGCCATTCCACACTTTGTTCTGCGACGACGATTCGTAGAGTTGCAATTTAGTCAGTACACGATTTGCCTATCCTGAATCCAGCTTGTTCTGATTGAAGTTCTGTATCCAGTGCGTCCTTAATTCTCTCCAGGATGATGCGACTAAGGATTTTACTTGGCGTCGACAGGAGCATGATTCCTCGCCAGTTCTTGCAGAGTCCTAAGTCTCACTTCTTTGATAGTTTAACGAGGTAACCTTCCCTCCAGTCAGTAGGCACCTTTCCCTCCTTCCAGACCTTTTGCAATAATAGAGTCAGCATGTTTACTCTCGTCTCTGGGTCCGCTTTCAATGCTTCAGGGGGTATTCCATCTGGTCCAGCTGCTTTTCCAGCTTTCAGAAGCTTGATTGCATTCAACACTTCAGCTCTCGTTGGAGGATTGGTGTCAACTGCAGTCGTGTACGCACTGTTGTTGGCATTTCTGGACGGGTTGCAGGTGGTGGTCGGTTCAAGAGTCCTTTGAAGTGATCCACTCATCGTTTAATCTGTCTTCCTTCTTTGGTAACTGGGTTCCCTTGGCTGTCTTTTACAGGTTTCGCTTGTGTTTATCTCTTCTTGAATAGAGACTTGGTTATCTGATATAGTGTCCTCAGGTCCCTTTTTGCCTGCTGCCTTCTCAGCTTCAGTGGCGAGGTTGTCGTAGAATCGTCTTTTGTCCTTCCTAGCACTCTTCTTCACTTCTTTGTCCATCGCTTTGTAAGTTGAGCTCAGCGTCTACTTCTCCTGTCCGTCCTTGCATTGAATCATTTTCTCTTTCACCATTCTCCTCTCTTCTATTAATTTCAAAGTGTCCATTGAGAGCCATTCCTTGTCTTGTCTCTTCTTTCTTCCTAAAACCGTTGAACACTTTTCATTGAAAATCACCTTCAGAGAGTACCAATGGTCTTCTAAGCATGATTCTTCCATGATGTCACGTAGTGCTTCCTGCTTTGCTCTGACAGTTGCAGTGAAAGTGTCTTTTGTGGTTGTGTCCTTCAGTTTTTGAGTGTTGAGCTTGTATTGTGGCCTATCCCCAGCTATCATTGAGGCATATGGCTTCACCTTGAAAGTCCCTCGTGGTAGATAGTGGTCTGAACCCACATCTGCTCCTCTCCTCAACCTTGTGTCCAGTAGGCTCTGTCTCCGCTTCCTTGAAATTGAGATGAAGTCTATTTGGTTTTCGGTGTTTCCTTCTGATGAATTCCATGTCGCCTTGTGTATATCCTTGTGTTTGAACACACTGCCACCAATCACCATATCATTGATTGAAGGCGCAGAAGTCTGAGAAGAGTTCACCATTGTCGTTCATTTCATCAAGGGCCTCGCAAACCATTGTGAGTTCTCTTCCTGTATTGTCTCCCGCCAGCTTCACATTCATATCACCCATCAGGATTCCGATGTCGCCATTTTGGACGTTGTCCATTATTGTTTGTAGTTGTCTGTAGAATGCCTCCTTCTTCTCCTCTTCTGAGACGTTTGTAGGCACAGAGCATTGAATGATTGTAACCTTCTTTCCTTCCTGTTGAGTTCAACCTGGCTGTCATTATCCTGGAGGAGATTGGTTCCCACTGCATGAGAGCTTTGGCTGCTGTTGGTGACATCATGATGGCCACTCCCTCGGTGTGCTTGTGATTGTCCTCTGGTTAGTCGGAATGGAGACGAATACATCATGTTTAAACCCGACTGCTTGTAATTATTGCCTAATTCTCACAGTGAAAAATGAACTGCAATTAGTGTGTTAAGTGAGTGAGTACCGTTTGATACAAGAAAATTAAGTGATATGAACCACTCAATATAAAAATTTTTTAATATGGATGAAGGCATGCCTTTTCAGAGAATTCTATCTGTGATAAATCTTGAGTTGAGTATATAGACGCAAATAATCAATGTTGTGGGGGATATTCATAATGACAGACAGCACTGGACAACAGGTTGACATAATTGATTGGCATAGTGAGTGGAGTCTAAACTTCCTTTTCATCACCTTACCAAAACTGATCATGGACAGAGCGTAAAAGTGATGGAACCGAAGCTGGTTGTGCAAGAGCGAGACAGAAGGAGGACGAGAGAGAGGAGGCGAACAGAGGAAGTATGTAACACACCTCATTCTTACTGTGTATTATTTATCAAAATCCTTTCTTTCCTTCTCAATTTTTTAAAGCAACTAACCGAATGAAGTACATAGTAGCTCTGTTGTTTATCTACTCGGTGAGCCTCATCAAATCAGAAGATGAAGGGGGAATTATTGGACATTTACTTGTCGATAATGTGGATTATGCTTCAACAAGTGAAGGGAGGACAACTGAAGTGATAGCCAATAACGACAGAGGATTAGGAAGAAACAGTGAGTTATTTTATGATCAATGTCGATTATTTGGGTTCACTTGTATTTGATTCGCTTTGACACACACACACACACACAGACACCTCCGTACCAACACATTTTCAAGTGATGGTTTGTAGAGATTTAATTGATTTCAGGTTGGTTGATGAACTGCTACGTCAGTTAGAGAATCTTTGATAACTAGGGAATACTTGACAGTTATTTCGACCCAGAGAGAGAGAGAAAGTCTTCAATAACACTCACTCATGACCTCAACGAAATTATCGAACCAAAACTTGAGAAGTAAACGAGTGCTCACTGGTGACTGCATACAGCATCGGGTGTCTGAGGTTGGAATTCTCCATCCATTGGATTGCATTCCAGTACTTGAGTGGTATGTGTGGTCGCCTCGTAATGTAAAGTTGATAACTTCAATTCCTGATCAATCGAGTAATGGTTCTATAGAGCTTAGAATTCCCGCGTTGGCTTTGAGTGATTTTCCGACTGATATCGGTTGGCGATTCAACCTGTAATCTCCGTCCCTATTTGGTAGAATGATATTGCCAGCCTGTTTCACTGTTTCACTTTACCAAGGGTCATCTCCGAATGGTAGGTGATCTGCATAAAATTACCAATGACTCGTTAGAACTTCCGATATATCACAACTAGATACTGTCTGATTGGTTCAAAACACACAAACTTCCATTCAGCTAATGCACACATCCATCATAAGAAGTATGATTCGGATTGTCATGTCACTGGTGGTATAGAGTTCACAGACTTGTCACGTGACCGGAGGCATTTTCATTAAGTAGCAGGCTTTGACCAACAGCTGACTGCACTTCACACTTAGGATGTTCAGATGTTCAAAGTGGAAAGAAAACAAGGCACTCTGACAACAATGAACCGACGAAGAGCTTACTTCCCAACAATAATTCAGAGGGAAACAGGGCCAGTTCTGGTAAACTCTGACGTGAGACACTGTTGAGTGATATCACACCGCAAACGGGACCTCACATAGAACAGAAATGTTGAATGAGACGTTGTCTGTGTTTCCGAGTGTGACGTGGATTTGAACGACTGAAGACGAAGTGATAGCTTATGAACGATCGTTGAGACAGTTAGAAGAAGCTGTTGAGAATAGCATGAAATGGATTGAGATGGGCTGTTGGAGTGTGACATGTTCCAACAGGAACCAGAGTGGTGTGCAGAATAATAAAACTTACATTCAGCGCCATATTTAGTGCATGGATTTAACCAGGAGCTAATTGTCTACTTCAACAACAATACATTTTAAAGTTGACGAATTCCACATTGGTGCCGTGTCATGTTATTCAATCATCTCAGCAGTGAAACGAACACACTGATTTTGCTGCCACAGTATATTTATCAGTCACATATCTACCGATGCATTTCTAATAGCTTATATATACATATGTGAATATCAGGAACCAGAGGGGTGTGCAGAATAATAACACTAACAATACGACTCAGGTACATGATAGCGTCGGTGTAGTTGTTCATGTCAGCTGTGAAAATGTACTTACTAAACGAAGGTATAATCCTGGTTGAATAAGTGGCAGTCAGACGCTACAAATTTGTAGAAAGGATAATATGCAGGCCACACCTGATCATAGTGTTAATGTTGTTAATATTACCGATTATTTGACGTTGAGTGCTGTTCAGGACGACTATACACACGGGCCAATAGGGCAGGTACAGTGAATTACTCTCCCTCTCTTAGTTATATTCACAATACTGTCGATAACATAGAGGATTTCGTGGATCCCTTCGATAGCACAAGCATGAATTCCATTGGAATGTTCTGAAGTCACTTAGAGAAGAAAAGGATTAGACCAGTGAATGTGTCAGAAAACAGCATTATATGTACAAACATAATCCTTGACCGTCATTGAAGAGTTCGAAAAAGAAAATGGGAGGTATTCTTGGAACACAGACTAGGACCGTCGATCTACTTTTGTGACACCGCAATTTTTATAGAAAAGCTTTAAAATTGCGCGTCTCTACTGCAGACTCATGCGATTCAGTGATCAAAGTCATTATGATGGTAATTCGCTTGAGCCGTAATATTTACCATCAAAATGTAATCGGAATTCTTCGCCTTGATTTATAGAATTAGATTCCACATTTCCAAAGTCCTTACAAAGACCTTCGAATGCAATCTTAGTGAGAATTGTGTTACCATAGTAGAAGAGGTTTTATGAATCTATGTCCTACGCGTCCTACTCATTACTCAATATGACGATTAACTTCAGTAAGACGGCAGATATTTCAATGATGAGAATGAACAAAACGACTAGTGTCCAGCCAGCCGAGAGGCTGCTATGCTGGCGAATTCAGTTAGCCTCTCCAGTTGTACATTCACATTTCTTAGAGTCTTCCATGAAACAGGGTATTAACAGAAGTGATGAGTTGTCATATTCATAGTTTTAAATGTCAATCAATACACCAGAGGGAATGAATAGGGATGTTAAGTTTACGCATTGAGATAGAATTTTGAGTTGGTTGAAAACAACACGGTTATTACTGTGATAGTAAAATGTAGTTGGTCAGTAGTTTTTGTACGCGTCGCTCCGGTTTCTCTATGTGAGTGCTTAGAGTATTAACAATCCATACACAATTTTTTGATTCAAAAATGCCTAAATTCAATTAATCAACACTTACTGCCAAAATTATGGAACTTAATACACTACACTGCATGACTGGAAATTACAAGATGATTATTTGAAAAATTTCAAGGAGAACCAACCACCTTTCTACGTGGAGCAACCATGTGGAAGATGAACGCTAAAGCGAGGTGAGGGAATTTCTGAATACCTGAAAAATCGCAAAGGAAATACACTGGTATTTTGGCGGCTCCATTCAATCTTCTCCATTACCTTGCCATCACTTCAATTTGAAACGTATTCTTGATAGGAGTTTTACATAACCTTCTCCACAGTCATTGTTCATTATTAATCCTCGTGCAATCACATTGTGTTTATTTTATATTTTGCATTAATGTCAACATAATTTTTTTGTAGAAAATGCAGAGGCCATTACAACAGAAGACACGGCTGCTGTCACAACACACTCAGATATTTCTGAGCACCGCAGTGATGAAACACAATCTCCAGTTCTTCCTGAGAGGAGCAATATCTCTTCTGTAACTACTGAGCAGATGACTGAAGATACAAGAAGTGATTCAAATGGTGAGTCTTTGTAATTGTTTTAATATTTACTTCACACACTTCTCCTATTGCGAAATCCACATGATTACTGAGTAACTCATCAGTAGGAAGTATCTGCAATCATGAGGGTGATAATGATCTACAGAGATTAGAATTCACGTCAAACATTACTGCAGTCACAGATGTTACAACTGAGTTGTTCAGTCTCACGAGCTCATCTAACATCTCTTTGAATTGCATAGCGATAGCCACTCAGTCAGACGTGTGATCACACAATGGACTCTTAGTGATAGATTTTAGCCAGGACCACTTATTGACAGCTACGTCACATAACGATGTCCACTGGGTAATCAGCGAACAATTAATTCATTCATTCAAAGATTTCCATTCAGTAATCAAGACGTGTACATATCGAAGCTGATATTCTTTATCAAATTTCTCACTTCGACTAGTTGTGCATTGAATAGCACACTCTATACACACACACACACACTAGCAAATACACACAATGAAACAATCTTATTCAGGGGAAACGTTAGGAAGACAATTTATACTGCACCTGGATTTACTCCACAACCTAGAAACTTGATTTTCATGGTTCTATTTATTCCATCTTTTCACATCTTTCCTACGGCTGGTGAAATTAACTTCTTTTCCTAAAACAATTTTCCCATCATTTCTGTTGCACAAATTCTCATCTGTTTCAGTAAATAAGGCTTCCGTCAACAATAATCTTTCCTTCGTCTCTGTATTATTTGTATTATTTCAAGCCTCCCATCGTATTGTAGCGTTGTGTACCACCGCATGTAGTGATATATTTGAGATATTTCCTCGATCTTCTATCTTATTAGCGTCAGATAATACCGATTCTCCAATTTTTTGTGCCTCTGTATTCCCACTGTCCCCGTCCTATATCATTTGGATTATGTATTTCATCTCATAAAATGAATTATTTGGTTGTGTAGTGGCAATGAACAGTGTGAGTATGAACAATAATAAATTGCATATTTGAAAGGCTGCTCAGTTAATGATGATAGCAATTATGAGCACCACTGCTCATCTTAACAAAACCTCGCGGTAAAATTAAAGTAACCAAAATAAAGGAAACGGATGCTTGTGTGAAAGTCATCAGTTAGCAGCAGTAAAACACATAGGCAATTCACGCTATTATGAAGGTATTACCGAGAAATTACCGTAGATTGAATTAAAACTAACATGAATATTGAGAGAGAGAGAGAGAGGTAGAAGGAGAGAACGGATATCCATGCGGTGAAGAAGCCAGCGAGGTGAAACAGAGTAAACGAGTGTATGTGAAGAGAAATACTGGTTGGTAAAAGCAACGAGAAAGAATGAAGTGATACGCGTATAGAAAAACAGCAGAATCCATGGTGAAAACCTGTGGAGTAGATTTGAAAGTCACTTTAACAAATCTCGGGAAACCAATGTACTTTCAACTACACAAACAGGCGAAATGAGTGTGATTAGGAAATATCTGAATTAGAAGATACTCACTGTGTAAATTCGAAAACAGAACAAACTACGTTGGCTATTTGGTTGTAAGTGAAGCGAGAGGGAGAAAAATTAGTGACATAATGTTTGTAGGGATTCCTACAGAAGAGAAAATCGGGATGAGATCAGTGACCTGCTGTGATTTCTGTCTGTTTGACTATCCGTCTGTTTGTATGTACCACGAAGTCGGACAGGTAGAAGATGAGACGTGAATGGTTATGTGATGAGTGCTCAGGTGCCATTCAGTATTTCCGGAGAATGAATTATCGCTGAAATATACTGAGTGATGGCTGCCTTTCGAGTCCATTCAGCCATCTACATTAGAAACTTGCATGTACAACAGATGGATTGTAGGGATAGTGACACGGTATACGTAAGAGAAACTTCCAGACATGTAAATGTAAGCAGGAAGGAGCCAGAAAAGTGAGCGGCGTTTGCAATACATTCAAAAGAATAAGAAATAAAGCTAAACTCTGTGAATGTCAGATAATCTATACGCTAAGAATACTGTGATTGGTTGTTGAATCAGTATTGTTCATATTTGTCAACACCAATATTTGCGACATACCCATTGACGTAAAATGCTGTCGACAAATTTCAGCTAGCCTGCTCTCACCACAGAGCTTGTTAGATTGACAGATCGATCGACTCCCCCGCTGCTCACCATCCGAAAATACACAAAATCCTAGTGAATGTTGAGTTGCATTGTATGCACAATTGACAGTGACTGGAAGATACCTGAATAAGGTGATTAGGTGATAGAAGGTGTAAATTGGAGTAGTGGAGAGATTATGTGTGTGTGGGTGGACTTTGTTATTGTAAGTGAGGCGTAAGTGCGAGAGAGAGTGTGAGTGAGAGTGTGAGAGGGAGAGGGTGACATAGGGAGAGATGGAGAGCAAGAGAGGGAGGCTAACAGCGAGAGAGACGGATTGATGTGAGGTGTGGAACGGAGGAAGAAATGGAGATGGGATCTGTGACGTGCAGTATATTTTGTCGGTCTGTCAGACATGGTGTCTTATTGACGGTCCAGGTGGCTGGGTGGCTGGCTTGCAGTCCCATGATTGTCCCCGTGACTGGATGCATGACGACCGTCACATCGGTCAGTCTCTCCCAGTGTCTGAAAGTATGAGTGCCACATCATCCGCTAGAAGATGAGACAAAGGTGATTGTGAGATGACCGAGAAGTTGTCATTGCCAGGGTCAGATTTCGAGAAGGATATATCGCTCAGATAAAATGACTGACAGATAGAATGATTAACTGATACACCAACTGCGTCAGTGAATGCGTGCCGGCGTGAAGAAACGCAAAACATATCGCCGAAGTTCCAGCGAACAACTACAAACAAACAAAAAAAATAACTCCATCGGATTGTCACCACTTCAATTCACAAGTGTCGTATTATCCACGACAATTTCGCATTTCGCTCTCCCTCTCTCTGTCTTCACCGTCATTCTCATTATGTTCATTCTGTCTCGCTTGTACAATAAATAATCCGTGTGATTGTCTGCTTATTCACCATAGATTGATTATCTCTGGCTGATGCAATTTGTTTTTGCCACATATCATCACTATACTAGGTCACTACAGTTCAGAAGACAATGATGATGTGTGGAGAACTTCGGAGATGCCTGTTCGCCATACACAGACAGAGAGGGAAACAGAGTCAAAGAGAAAGACGGAGGCGCAGACGGAGACGGAGACTGAGACAGAGAAAACACAATCATCAGCCTTCCCCAGTACGCATAGCATGTCTTCTGTGACTGGTGAGGTAACAACGCGTCGACCGACTGGTGAGTCTCAACTTCTCATGTTTACTCATCATTGTATTTTGTTGAGCGTTGTTTTGGTGTGGTGTGTGTGTGTGCGTGCGTGTGTGCACAATTCCAGGAGATTATGCATAATAATGCTTGGAAATGCTGATCGACACGGTGGACAGGACACATGGTCAAGTGAAGTGCATCATTGTGCGATATGACGAAGATATTGCTTAAGAGCGGTGTGTAGGTTGGTGGGTCGTTGTGTGGGTTGGTCGCTCCGTGAGTCAGTCAGTTAGTGTTCAGCTCTATACACCACCATACAGCATATCGAAGATCGGTCATCTCACCTGAATGCACATTCAAACAAGGCGTATCTGAATATTCATCACTGATGATGACAATGTGAATTGAATTAGCGCCTGATAATCACTCGTGAGAAATAATCATCCTCCTGGGATTAGCAGCCACATTACATGAAGATGACGAAGAAGAAGAAGAAGAAGTGAGAGAAGAAGAAGACGAGGAAGATGCAGTAGCTGAAGTCGAATGAACTAGAATTGGAAGAAGTGTTAGGAAGAAGCAGTCGAAATGATATTAGTACTAGTATTGTTAATTTGAGTATTGACAGTTTCAGTTGTAATAGTTAGTGTCGAAGGCATTGTTACCAGGAGAGTCAGTAGTAGAAGTAGCAGTAGTAGTATTTGTTAAATGCTTTCTGTTCAAGCGAATGAATGATTCCATGATAAATCATGTGATACGAGCTGTCGGTGACTGTAGTAAGCAGAAATCAATGGCTGACACTAACGCCAACAAGCAGGATGATGTTGACAGTTATCAAGTGAATCGATTCTGTCTGACAGACGAGAATATTGTCGAGCTTGTTAGATTGACAGATTGATCGATTTCCCCGCTGCTCACCATCCGAGACTAGACAAAATCCTAGTGATTGTTGAGTTGCATTGTATGCACAATTGTCAGTGACTGGAAGATTCGTGATTTAGGTGATTAGGTGATGGACGGTGTGAATTGGAGTAGTGGAGAGACTGTGTTATGTGGGTGGACTCTGTGAATGTAAGTGAAGCGAGAGTGAGAGGGAGAGTGATAGAGCGATTCAGAGGGACCTAGCGGGACAGATGGAGAGTGGGAGAAGGAGGTTAACAGTGAGAGAGACAGATTGATGTGAGGTGTGGAGAGGAGGAGGAAATGGAGATAGAATCTGTGACGTGCGAAATTTTGTGTCTATCTGTCAGACTTAGTGTCTCATTATCCGTCCAGCTGGCTACCTGCTGGCTGGCTGGCTGGCTGGCTGTCTCCCTTCCTTCCTGCCTGTCAGTCTGTCTCACTCACTGTCTTACCGTATGATTTCCACATTTTCGGCTAGAAGAATAGACTTGAGGGATTTTGTGATGAGAGAGCAGAAGTCGGTGTCAGTGTCAGTGTAAGTGTCAGTGTTGGAGAGCGACATCTCGCTGAATTGAAATGACCGGCTGACTGACTGTCTGCCTGTCACGCCGACTGCGTGATTGACTGCGTGTCTGTGTGACGGCGTGCACGCTATCTCGTTCACTTCCACCCCACATCGAAAACAAAAACAACCTCCTCCATCGGATTGTCACCACTTCAATTCACAAGTGTCGTATTATCCACGACAATTTCGCATTTCGCTCTCCCTCTCTCTGTCTTCACCGTCATTCTCATTATGTTCATTCTGTCTCGCTTGTACAATAAATAATCCGTGTGATTGTCTGCTTATTCACCATAGATTGATTATCTCTGGCTGATGCAATTTGTTTTTGCCACATATCATCACTATACTAGGTCACTACAGTTCAGAAGACAATGATGATGTGTGGAGAACTTCGGAGATGCCTGTTCGCCATACACAGACAGAGAGGGAAACAGAGTCAAAGAGAAAGACGGAGGCGCAGACGGAGACGGAGACTGAGACAGAGAAAACACAATCATCAGCCTTCCCCAGTACGCATAGCATGTCTTCTGTGACTGGTGAGGTAACAACGCGTCGACCGACTGGTGAGTCTCAACTTCTCATGTTTACTCATCATTGTATTTTGTTGAGCGTTGTTTTGGTGTGTGTGTGTGTGTGTGTGCGTGCGTGTGTGCACAATTCCAGGAGATTATGCATAATAATGCTTGGAAATGCTGATCGACACGGTGGACAGGACACATGGTCAAGTGAAGTGCATCATTGTGCGATATGACGAAGATATTGCTTAAGAGCGGTGTGTAGGTTGGTGGGTCGTTGTGTGGGTTGGTCGCTCCGTGAGTCAGTCAGTTAGTGTTCAGCTCTATACACCACCATACAGCATATCGAAGATCGGTCATCTCACCTGAATGCACATTCAAACAAGGCGTATCTGAATATTCATCACTGATGATGACAATGTGAATTGAATTAGCGCCTGATAATCACTCGTGAGAAATAATCATCCTCCTGGGATTAGCAGCCACATTACATGAAGATGACGAAGAAGAAGAAGAAGAAGTGAGAGAAGAAGAAGACGAGGAAGATGCAGTAGCTGAAGTCGAATGAACTAGAATTGGAAGAAGTGTTAGGAAGAAGCAGTCGAAATGATATTAGTACTAGTATTGTTAATTTGAGTATTGACAGTTTCAGTTGTAATAGTTAGTGTCGAAGGCATTGTTACCAGGAGAGTCAGTAGTAGAAGTAGCAGTAGTAGTATTTGTTAAATGCTTTCTGTTCAAGCGAATGAATGATTCCATGATAAATCATGTGATACGAGCTGTCGGTGACTGTAGTAAGCAGAAATCAATGGCTGACACTAACGCCAACAAGCAGGATGATGTTGACAGTTATCAAGTGAATCGATTCTGTCTGACAGACGAGAATATTGTCGAGCTTGTTAGATTGACAGATTGATCGATTTCCCCGCTGCTCACCATCCGAGACTAGACAAAATCCTAGTGATTGTTGAGTTGCATTGTATGCACAATTGTCAGTGACTGGAAGATTCGTGATTTAGGTGATTAGGTGATGGACGGTGTGAATTGGAGTAGTGGAGAGACTGTGTTATGTGGGTGGACTCTGTGAATGTAAGTGAAGCGAGAGTGAGAGGGAGAGTGATAGAGCGATTCAGAGGGACCTAGCGGGACAGATGGAGAGTGGGAGAAGGAGGTTAACAGTGAGAGAGACAGATTGATGTGAGGTGTGGAGAGGAGGAGGAAATGGAGATAGAATCTGTGACGTGCGAAATTTTGTGTCTATCTGTCAGACTTAGTGTCTCATTATCCGTCCAGCTGGCTACCTGGCTGGCTGGCTGGCTGGCTGGCTGTCTCCCTTCCTTCCTGCCTGTCAGTCTGTCTCACTCACTGTCTTACCGTATGATTTCCACATTTTCGGCTAGAAGAATAGACTTGAGGGATTTTGTGATGAGAGAGCAGAAGTCGGTGTCAGTGTCAGTGTAAGTGTCAGTGTTGGAGAGCGACATCTCGCTGAATTGAAATGACCGGCTGACTGACTGTCTGCCTGTCACGCCGACTGCGTGATTGACTGCGTGTCTGTGTGACGGCGTGCACGCTATCTCGTTCACTTCCACCCCACATCGAAAACAAAAACAACCTCCTCCATCGGATTGTCACCACTTCAATTCACAAGTGTCGTATTATCCACGACAATTTCGCATTTCGCTCTCCCTCTCTCTGTCTTCACCGTCATTCTCATTATGTTCATTCTGTCTCGCTTGTACAATAAATAATCCGTGTGATTGTCTGCTTATTCACCATAGATTGATTATCTCTGGCTGATGCAATTTGTTTTTGCCACATATCATCACTATACTAGGTCACTACAGTTCAGAAGACAATGATGATGTGTGGAGAACTTCGGAGATGCCTGTTCGCCATACACAGACAGAGAGGGAAACAGAGTCAAAGAGAAAGACGGAGGCGCAGACGGAGACGGAGACTGAGACAGAGAAAACACAATCATCAGCCTTCCCCAGTACGCATAGCATGTCTTCTGTGACTGGTGAGGTAACAACGCGTCGACCGACTGGTGAGTCTCAACTTCTCATGTTTACTCATCATTGTATTTTGTTGAGCGTTGTTTTGGTGTGTGTGTGTGTGTGTGTGCGTGCGTGTGTGCACAATTCCAGGAGATTATGCATAATAATGCTTGGAAATGCTGATCGACACGGTGGACAGGACACATGGTCAAGTGAAGTGCATCATTGTGCGATATGACGAAGATATTGCTTAAGAGCGGTGTGTAGGTTGGTGGGTCGTTGTGTGGGTTGGTCGCTCCGTGAGTCAGTCAGTTAGTGTTCAGCTCTATACACCACCATACAGCATATCGAAGATCGGTCATCTCACCTGAATGCACATTCAAACAAGGCGTATCTGAATATTCATCACTGATGATGACAATGTGAATTGAATTAGCGCCTGATAATCACTCGTGAGAAATAATCATCCTCCTGGGATTAGCAGCCACATTACATGAAGATGACGAAGAAGAAGAAGAAGAAGTGAGAGAAGAAGAAGACGAGGAAGATGCAGTAGCTGAAGTCGAATGAACTAGAATTGGAAGAAGTGTTAGGAAGAAGCAGTCGAAATGATATTAGTACTAGTATTGTTAATTTGAGTATTGACAGTTTCAGTTGTAATAGTTAGTGTCGAAGGCATTGTTACCAGGAGAGTCAGTAGTAGAAGTAGCAGTAGTAGTATTTGTTAAATGCTTTCTGTTCAAGCGAATGAATGATTCCATGATAAATCATGTGATACGAGCTGTCGGTGACTGTAGTAAGCAGAAATCAATGGCTGACACTAACGCCAACAAGCAGGATGATGTTGACAGTTATCAAGTGAATCGATTCTGTCTGACAGACGAGAATATTGTCGAGCTTGTTAGATTGACAGATTGATCGATTTCCCCGCTGCTCACCATCCGAGACTAGACAAAATCCTAGTGATTGTTGAGTTGCATTGTATGCACAATTGTCAGTGACTGGAAGATTCGTGATTTAGGTGATTAGGTGATGGACGGTGTGAATTGGAGTAGTGGAGAGACTGTGTTATGTGGGTGGACTCTGTGAATGTAAGTGAAGCGAGAGTGAGAGGGAGAGTGATAGAGCGATTCAGAGGGACCTAGCGGGACAGATGGAGAGTGGGAGAAGGAGGTTAACAGTGAGAGAGACAGATTGATGTGAGGTGTGGAGAGGAGGAGGAAATGGAGATAGAATCTGTGACGTGCGAAATTTTGTGTCTATCTGTCAGACTTAGTGTCTCATTATCCGTCCAGCTGGCTACCTGGCTGGCTGGCTGGCTGGCTGTCTCCCTTCCTTCCTGCCTGTCAGTCTGTCTCACTCACTGTCTTACCGTATGATTTCCACATTTTCGGCTAGAAGAATAGACTTGAGGGATTTTGTGATGAGAGAGCAGAAGTCGGTGTCAGTGTCAGTGTAAGTGTCAGTGTTGGAGAGCGACATCTCGCTGAATTGAAATGACCGGCTGACTGACTGTCTGCCTGTCACGCCGACTGCGTGATTGACTGCGTGTCTGTGTGACGGCGTGCACGCTATCTCGTTCACTTCCACCCCACATCGAAAACAAAAACAACCTCCTCCATCGGATTGTCACCACTTCAATTCACAAGTGTCGTATTATCCACGACAATTTCGCATTTCGCTCTCCCTCTCTCTGTCTTCACCGTCATTCTCATTATGTTCATTCTGTCTCGCTTGTACAATAAATAATCCGTGTGATTGTCTGCTTATTCACCATAGATTGATTATCTCTGGCTGATGCAATTTGTTTTTGCCACATATCATCACTATACTAGGTCACTACAGTTCAGAAGACAATGATGATGTGTGGAGAACTTCGGAGATGCCTGTTCGCCATACACAGACAGAGAGGGAAACAGAGTCAAAGAGAAAGACGGAGGCGCAGACGGAGACGGAGACTGAGACAGAGAAAACACAATCATCAGCCTTCCCCAGTACGCATAGCATGTCTTCTGTGACTGGTGAGGTAACAACGCGTCGACCGACTGGTGAGTCTCAACTTCTCATGTTTACTCATCATTGTATTTTGTTGAGCGTTGTTTTGGTGTGTGTGTGTGTGTGTGTGCGTGCGTGTGTGCACAATTCCAGGAGATTATGCATAATAATGCTTGGAAATGCTGATCGACACGGTGGACAGGACACATGGTCAAGTGAAGTGCATCATTGTGCGATATGACGAAGATATTGCTTAAGAGCGGTGTGTAGGTTGGTGGGTCGTTGTGTGGGTTGGTCGCTCCGTGAGTCAGTCAGTTAGTGTTCAGCTCTATACACCACCATACAGCATATCGAAGATCGGTCATCTCACCTGAATGCACATTCAAACAAGGCGTATCTGAATATTCATCACTGATGATGACAATGTGAATTGAATTAGCGCCTGATAATCACTCGTGAGAAATAATCATCCTCCTGGGATTAGCAGCCACATTACATGAAGATGACGAAGAAGAAGAAGAAGAAGTGAGAGAAGAAGAAGACGAGGAAGATGCAGTAGCTGAAGTCGAATGAACTAGAATTGGAAGAAGTGTTAGGAAGAAGCAGTCGAAATGATATTAGTACTAGTATTGTTAATTTGAGTATTGACAGTTTCAGTTGTAATAGTTAGTGTCGAAGGCATTGTTACCAGGAGAGTCAGTAGTAGAAGTAGCAGTAGTAGTATTTGTTAAATGCTTTCTGTTCAAGCGAATGAATGATTCCATGATAAATCATGTGATACGAGCTGTCGGTGACTGTAGTAAGCAGAAATCAATGGCTGACACTAACGCCAACAAGCAGGATGATGTTGACAGTTATCAAGTGAATCGATTCTGTCTGACAGACGAGAATATTGTCGAGCTTGTTAGATTGACAGATTGATCGATTTCCCCGCTGCTCACCATCCGAGACTAGACAAAATCCTAGTGATTGTTGAGTTGCATTGTATGCACAATTGTCAGTGACTGGAAGATTCGTGATTTAGGTGATTAGGTGATGGACGGTGTGAATTGGAGTAGTGGAGAGACTGTGTTATGTGGGTGGACTCTGTGAATGTAAGTGAAGCGAGAGTGAGAGGGAGAGTGATAGAGCGATTCAGAGGGACCTAGCGGGACAGATGGAGAGTGGGAGAAGGAGGTTAACAGTGAGAGAGACAGATTGATGTGAGGTGTGGAGAGGAGGAGGAAATGGAGATAGAATCTGTGACGTGCGAAATTTTGTGTCTATCTGTCAGACTTAGTGTCTCATTATCCGTCCAGCTGGCTACGCTGGCTGGCTGGCTGGCTGGCTGTCTCCCTTCCTTCCTGCCTGTCAGTCTGTCTCACTCACTGTCTTACCGTATGATTTCCACATTTTCGGCTAGAAGAATAGACTTGAGGGATTTTGTGATGAGAGAGCAGAAGTCGGTGTCAGTGTCAGTGTAAGTGTCAGTGTTGGAGAGCGACATCTCGCTGAATTGAAATGACCGGCTGACTGACTGTCTGCCTGTCACGCCGACTGCGTGATTGACTGCGTGTCTGTGTGACGGCGTGCACGCTATCTCGTTCACTTCCACCCCACATCGAAAACAAAAACAACCTCCTCCATCGGATTGTCACCACTTCAATTCACAAGTGTCGTATTATCCACGACAATTTCGCATTTCGCTCTCCCTCTCTCTGTCTTCACCGTCATTCTCATTATGTTCATTCTGTCTCGCTTGTACAATAAATAATCCGTGTGATTGTCTGCTTATTCACCATAGATTGATTATCTCTGGCTGATGCAATTTGTTTTTGCCACATATCATCACTATACTAGGTCACTACAGTTCAGAAGACAATGATGATGTGTGGAGAACTTCGGAGATGCCTGTTCGCCATACACAGACAGAGAGGGAAACAGAGTCAAAGAGAAAGACGGAGGCGCAGACGGAGACGGAGACTGAGACAGAGAAAACACAATCATCAGCCTTCCCCAGTACGCATAGCATGTCTTCTGTGACTGGTGAGGTAACAACGCGTCGACCGACTGGTGAGTCTCAACTTCTCATGTTTACTCATCATTGTATTTTGTTGAGCGTTGTTTTGGTGTGTGTGTGTGTGTGTGTGCGTGCGTGTGTGCACAATTCCAGGAGATTATGCATAATAATGCTTGGAAATGCTGATCGACACGGTGGACAGGACACATGGTCAAGTGAAGTGCATCATTGTGCGATATGACGAAGATATTGCTTAAGAGCGGTGTGTAGGTTGGTGGGTCGTTGTGTGGGTTGGTCGCTCCGTGAGTCAGTCAGTTAGTGTTCAGCTCTATACACCACCATACAGCATATCGAAGATCGGTCATCTCACCTGAATGCACATTCAAACAAGGCGTATCTGAATATTCATCACTGATGATGACAATGTGAATTGAATTAGCGCCTGATAATCACTCGTGAGAAATAATCATCCTCCTGGGATTAGCAGCCACATTACATGAAGATGACGAAGAAGAAGAAGAAGAAGTGAGAGAAGAAGAAGACGAGGAAGATGCAGTAGCTGAAGTCGAATGAACTAGAATTGGAAGAAGTGTTAGGAAGAAGCAGTCGAAATGATATTAGTACTAGTATTGTTAATTTGAGTATTGACAGTTTCAGTTGTAATAGTTAGTGTCGAAGGCATTGTTACCAGGAGAGTCAGTAGTAGAAGTAGCAGTAGTAGTATTTGTTAAATGCTTTCTGTTCAAGCGAATGAATGATTCCATGATAAATCATGTGATACGAGCTGTCGGTGACTGTAGTAAGCAGAAATCAATGGCTGACACTAACGCCAACAAGCAGGATGATGTTGACAGTTATCAAGTGAATCGATTCTGTCTGACAGACGAGAATATTGTCGAGCTTGTTAGATTGACAGATTGATCGATTTCCCCGCTGCTCACCATCCGAGACTAGACAAAATCCTAGTGATTGTTGAGTTGCATTGTATGCACAATTGTCAGTGACTGGAAGATTCGTGATTTAGGTGATTAGGTGATGGACGGTGTGAATTGGAGTAGTGGAGAGACTGTGTTATGTGGGTGGACTCTGTGAATGTAAGTGAAGCGAGAGTGAGAGGGAGAGTGATAGAGCGATTCAGAGGGACCTAGCGGGACAGATGGAGAGTGGGAGAAGGAGGTTAACAGTGAGAGAGACAGATTGATGTGAGGTGTGGAGAGGAGGAGGAAATGGAGATAGAATCTGTGACGTGCGAAATTTTGTGTCTATCTGTCAGACTTAGTGTCTCATTATCCGTCCAGCTGGCTACCTGGCTGGCTGGCTGGCTGGCTGGCTGTCTCCCTTCCTTCCTGCCTGTCAGTCTGTCTCACTCACTGTCTTACCGTATGATTTCCACATTTTCGGCTAGAAGAATAGACTTGAGGGATTTTGTGATGAGAGAGCAGAAGTCGGTGTCAGTGTCAGTGTAAGTGTCAGTGTTGGAGAGCGACATCTCGCTGAATTGAAATGACCGGCTGACTGACTGTCTGCCTGTCACGCCGACTGCGTGATTGACTGCGTGTCTGTGTGACGGCGTGCACGCTATCTCGTTCACTTCCACCCCACATCGAAAACAAAAACAACCTCCTCCATCGGATTGTCACCACTTCAATTCACAAGTGTCGTATTATCCACGACAATTTCGCATTTCGCTCTCCCTCTCTCTGTCTTCACCGTCATTCTCATTATGTTCATTCTGTCTCGCTTGTACAATAAATAATCCGTGTGATTGTCTGCTTATTCACCATAGATTGATTATCTCTGGCTGATGCAATTTGTTTTTGCCACATATCATCACTATACTAGGTCACTACAGTTCAGAAGACAATGATGATGTGTGGAGAACTTCGGAGATGCCTGTTCGCCATACACAGACAGAGAGGGAAACAGAGTCAAAGAGAAAGACGGAGGCGCAGACGGAGACGGAGACTGAGACAGAGAAAACACAATCATCAGCCTTCCCCAGTACGCATAGCATGTCTTCTGTGACTGGTGAGGTAACAACGCGTCGACCGACTGGTGAGTCTCAACTTCTCATGTTTACTCATCATTGTATTTTGTTGAGCGTTGTTTTGGTGTGTGTGTGTGTGTGTGTGCGTGCGTGTGTGCACAATTCCAGGAGATTATGCATAATAATGCTTGGAAATGCTGATCGACACGGTGGACAGGACACATGGTCAAGTGAAGTGCATCATTGTGCGATATGACGAAGATATTGCTTAAGAGCGGTGTGTAGGTTGGTGGGTCGTTGTGTGGGTTGGTCGCTCCGTGAGTCAGTCAGTTAGTGTTCAGCTCTATACACCACCATACAGCATATCGAAGATCGGTCATCTCACCTGAATGCACATTCAAACAAGGCGTATCTGAATATTCATCACTGATGATGACAATGTGAATTGAATTAGCGCCAGATAATCACTCGTGAGAAATAATCATCCTCCTGGGATTAGCAGCCACATTACATGAAGATGACGAAGAAGAAGAAGAAGAAGTGAGAGAAGAAGAAGACGAGGAAGATGCAGTAGCTGAAGTCGAATGAACTAGAATTGGAAGAAGTGTTAGGAAGAAGCAGTCGAAATGATATTAGTACTAGTATTGTTAATTTGAGTATTGACAGTTTCAGTTGTAATAGTTAGTGTCGAAGGCATTGTTACCAGGAGAGTCAGTAGTAGAAGTAGCAGTAGTAGTATTTGTTAAATGCTTTCTGTTCAAGCGAATGAATGATTCCATGATAAATCATGTGATACGAGCTGTCGGTGACTGTAGTAAGCAGAAATCAATGGCTGACACTAACGCCAACAAGCAGGATGATGTTGACAGTTATCAAGTGAATCGATTCTGTCTGACAGACGAGAATATTGTCGAGCTTGTTAGATTGACAGATTGATCGATTTCCCCGCTGCTCACCATCCGAGACTAGACAAAATCCTAGTGATTGTTGAGTTGCATTGTATGCACAATTGTCAGTGACTGGAAGATTCGTGATTTAGGTGATTAGGTGATGGACGGTGTGAATTGGAGTAGTGGAGAGACTGTGTTATGTGGGTGAACTTTGTGATTTCAAGTTAAGTGTTAGTGAGAGAGAGGCATAATGAGACCTATGGGGTGTGATAGTTGGAGGCTAACAGCGAGAGTGTCAGATTGATGTGAGGTGTGAATGGGAGAAGGAAATTCCGATGGATCTGTGAGTTCAGATTCTTTTGTCTGTCTAGTGGATATATTTGGGGACTTATTGTCCTTGTAGATGGCCGTCTGCCAGGCTGGCTGCGTGTCTGAGTAACTGGGTGTCTGCCTATTTGTCTGTATCTCTCTCACGCTCTCTCTGTGTATGAGTTCCACATTTTCAGTTAGATTATGAGACTTGAGGTATTTGTGATGAGACAACAATTGTGAGTGTCAGTGTCTGAGAACGATTTTTCGCTGAAATGAAACGACTGGCTGAATGTCTGTCACATCGATTGCGTGCGTGGATGACGACATGCATTCCATCTCGGCCACATTCAACCCCACACCCACATCCAAACCAGAACAATCTCCTACATCGGATTGTCACCAATTCAATTCCAAAGTGTTATATAATCCACGACAATTTCGCATTCCGCTCTCCCTCTCTCTTCACCGTCATTCTGATCATGTTCATTCTGTCTCCCTTGTACAATAAATAATCCGTGTGTTTGTCTGCCTATTCACCATTGATTGATTATCTCTGGCTGATGCAATTTGTTTCTGCCACATATCGTCACTATATTTGGCGTCTACTGGTGGGAGGGCAATTTTCAACGAATTGACGGTAATTTCCTTTTATTTTCGGTCACTCTACAAATCGATAGTTACTACGTTAGTTTATCGGCATTACCTCGAATGCCCTAAAACCAATAATATCTATTTGTTTTCGGCATTTAAATTGTATTTTTCATACAGAAATCTATAATCAAATTTTTTTTCAAGTAATGTCCTCTACTTTTATTCGTATTGTTTCGTCTTCTTTCAACTTGTACACGATTCAATCATTCGCGGTATCAAGTTGTGCGATTTAAGATACCAATAGGAAAGACGGATGATGGAATTATCATATACAAGGACTACTATCCTGAAATGCCTATTCCTTGGATGATGTCTCTTTGTCATACACGGAGTCAGACTGAGACGTTGACGGAGACGGTGACAGAGACAGAGAACAAACAATCTTCAGCCTTCCCCAGTACGCATAGCATGTCTACTGTGACTAGCGGAAAAACAACGAGTCGACCGACTGGTGAGTCTCAACTTCTCATGTTTACTCATCATTGTATTTTGTTGAGCGTTGTTCTGGTGTGTGTGTGTGTGTGTGTGCGTGCGTGTGTGCATAATTCCAGGAGATTATGCATAATAATGCTTGGGAATGCTGATCGATACGATGGACAGGACACATGGTCGAGTGAAGTGGCGAATTGTGCGACATGACGAAGATATAGGTAAACAGCGGTTTTTGGGTGGGTGGGACGTTGCGTTGGTTGGTCACTCTGTGAGTCAGGCAGGCAGTCACTCATTCAGTCATGCAGTGTTCAGTTTTCAACAAGAGCAGACAGCATTTCGTCGATCGGTCGCTTACCCGAATGCACAATCACAAACTAGGCGAATCTGAATATTCCTCACTGAGGATGACAATGTGAATTGAATTACCGCCTGATAATCACTCGTGGGAAACAATAATCGTGGTGAGATTAGCAGTAATATTAGATGATGTTGACATCGAATTAGCAGGGGACGATAAAGAAGCAGTAGACTAAGTAGAAAGTTGTAGAATTGGAAGAAGTGTAAGCAAGAAGCAGTCTCGATGATAGTAGCGCTAGTTTTGTTATTTTGAGTAGTGATAGTTTCAATTGTAGTAGTTAGTTTCGAAGGCTTTGTCTCTGGAATGGAAATTTCCATCACTCCGAAGTGCTTAATTTTTCAATCTTATGGATGCAGTTGATTGTTGCATAGTTCAGGGCTTTCAGTCTTCAATATGAACTACTGTTTACAAAGTTTATTTTACAAATCTTTCGAGGAATTTCATCTGTCCTGAATGTTAATGTGCCAGCCAGTCGTTTCACTGAAATATGTGAACCAAAGCGGGTTATCTGTCAGTTTTCCGAAAGATTTTTCCCCCAACTACATTGTGTATTATTTCAACATGGATGATGTCATTGTAAACTGGGTGTGATCAGTAGGAACACAGCAATCAACTCTCAGTGATCACGCATCAGTAGAACAAATCACACTAACGCATACTATTCAGATCACAAAGGGTAGGATTGAATTTTCATCCTATTCACTGATAGTATTCATTCCTCTCTTAATTGGTTGCGTGTTTATTTCATCTTTCGTGTTCAATAAGAAGTGTGAATTGGCATGTTGTCTAATATGACGTTACTGTATAGGCATCCTTATTCATCACTATTTAACTACATTTCATTTCAGAGGGTTTTCAGAACTCCATTGTCGCTTTAGTAATCATCCTTCTGTGATTGAACTAATTGTATCTGCTAGACATATTTTATTCCTCTTCCACTCTCTACTCGAACTCCTTGATTCCGACACTTCATTCTACTTGCTCCACACACACACACTGGTGTGTTTTATATTTCCTAGCCAGAATGATTTAAACTCATCAACGTTTCTCTTCTGTATGTTGCACTCTACGATTAATTTTACCTGCAATCATCGTGGACATCTGAAACTGTATTGAGTGGAGTGTAGTGCGTACAGACTGAGTTCACCTATTGGTTGGCATTGAGAATCCTTGAAACCTGTGGACTACTCGACACATGTTTCCTCCTCATTTCTGCGTCTTCTGCATGACGATCAAGCGACACCATCAGGTAACGAGGCCAGCACCTACAGGTGACCAAATCAATCAATTCGTTGACTATTTCAACTCTGAGACCTATTCACAAGTTCCATCTATTCTAACTCCTCCCGGATCTCACCTCTGATATAACATGGTATTTCAGATAAATCTCGCTTATTGGATTATGTGTGTCACTCAACCTACCGGTCTGCACAATCAATACTTCATATTCTGATGATTAGTCTTCCTGATTATTCTTATCATAAGAAGTCTATATTTACGTTAGGCAAACATTCTGCATGGAGAAATATTTCACAGTCAGATTAAGTCTGATTCCACTCAGTCACGTGTTCCTCAGAAATTGAGGCTTCTAACTGCATTGGAAAATGCACTCGTGATAGTTGACATCAGGAGTTCACTTCTTAGGATTGATTTACACAATTGGCTGGATTCAGGAGAAACAAGTCATGTATTGATCAAATTGCCACACTACAGATCATGATTGAACAATGCTTAGAATGTCAGTCACCTCTCTATCTTAACTTCATCGACTTTGTGGAGGCCTTTGATAGCGCAGCGTTTATCGAACGGTCATTCGGCAACTACTTCCCTACTACGTTGTCCCTTAGACAAGTATACATCTCATCCAACAGTTGTACGACAATGGTGCATGACAAGTAATCCACAACGGAAAACTTACGGAAGCCTTCGAAGTGAGGACGGGAGTGAGGCAAGGCTGTCTACTATCGCCAATGATTTTCCTGATTGCAGTAGACTGGATAATGCGACAGGCAACGGGCCGGGCAATGAGGAAACAGGCATAAAATGGACTCACATAAAAAACTTGGAGGATCTGGACTTCGCCGATGGTATATGTCTGATTTCCCATAAATCGGAAGATATGCAAGTGAAAAGCAACAAGCTGGAAGAAGAAGCATCAAAGAGAGGACTTCAGTTGAACATAGAGAAAACAGAGGTGATGAAGATTCCTGGCCAACAGCAACAGCCACAGCAACATTAACAGACAACAATCAGCCAGCATAAATGGGAAGAACATGAAAGAAACAACCTCCTTTACCTACCTGAGAAGCATAGTTTCAACTACAGGTGGAACCGGCGAGGATATCAAAGCCAGAATCAGAAAAGCAAGACAAGCTCTCATTACTCTTCAGTCTGTGTGGAGGTCAACAGCACTCATCATCAAAAA